TGACTATGGAGGGCAAAATCATACACAAAAAATAGTTTTGCATTTACTATATGAAAAATTAAATGTCGATCGCATTGTTTTCATATACAATTATAATAGCTTTGACTTAGCCAACTTACTGTTAGATAAAAAGATGCACTACACAGGTACAATGAGAACCACTCGCGAAAACACTCCGAAAGATGTTCATACTACTAAATTGCGAAAAAGCGATACCATTGAAAGGTATTTTCAGGGAATAATGATTGGAAAGTGGAAAAATAAATGTGAAGTGTATTATATTTTTACAGTGTACAAAAATGAAACTTTTGAGATTTAAAATAAAAGAAATGAATTGAAGCAGAAGCCATTGCCAAACATCAACTATAATATGTTTACGTAGATCGGCAAGATCAAATGGTGTCGTATTATCTCTCGAAGAGAAAAGAACCATGCTGGTGCAAAAAATTGTTCTTTCATATTATTGAAGTAATTTTAATAAATTCACATGCTCTTTATAATAAATATTCCGGAAGTAAAATATCACTTTATGACTACCAATTGAACATTATAAAACCACTTTTGCCATCAACAGACAAGCAAAAGCAGACTCCAAAGAATCTCAAACATACTCTTCAGAAAAAGAGAACTTGAACCTGGCAAAACCTAAATACAAAGAAAAAATGTGCAAATTTTGTTCCTCTCAAAGAGTGCCGAGACCGTCCAGACAAACCAGGATACTGCTTAAACTGCCATGAAATATACCATAAGTGACAATATATTAATGCAGTACTGTTTCTACACTAATGAAATTTTTGTTTTGTAATAAGTTTAAAATTTTTGTATTCTTTCTATGATTTTCTACTATGTTGATTATGTATTATATAATATTTGTTATGTTTTATAATCTTCAGAGTTGAGCATTCAACAGGCAGGTACATGAATATTTTTTATAACTTTTATTTTGCTGCAACATTTTGAAATAATAGGAATAGTTGAACAACGTGAATATCTGTATTTTGTATTAATTATCTGAAAATATTTTTTGACATTGTTTTCATAAATTTGACTTCTTTTTGTCCAATTATAATTTTCATATCTTTTAAACTCTGACTGTATTCAATGTGTAAATAATTTCACAGAGAAATGAAGAGAAGTGTTAGAGCGTCAGTGACACACAGATGGTAAGTTGAACGTGATGTGCTACAGCTGCTCTAGAGCGTCGGAAAAAATTTTTAAACATAGAAAATAAAAGGTTTTTTGGTTTTTCTAGCTTATTTCGTTTATTTCCGTTTTTCTAGCTTTATTAAAATATAAATAACATTTTTAATCATTAAAACACTACTATTTTGTAATTTGGCTTCCGAGGATGCATATTTTGTTTATTTAGGACACAGTCAGGCAAGCCTGACAAGAGAAGCTCGTCTTACGACACAAATCTGAGGAATTTTTACTAGCAACAAATGTGTTGCTTCTTTCACATCGAAGTCGCCCCAAACACTCAATCATTAAGACATTGGCAGGTCACCCGAACGCCTGAATCATTTTCTACCTGAAGCTTTCTTCCATCATGTTTGTGCATGGCTCATTACTTTCAAAATTTGTCAAATGACATGCCAATCATTCTTTTGAAGTGACTAAAAGTTGTTCTTTTACATAAACGCACCTTTTTTCTCCTTTGTTTAGCATCAATGTTTAGCTATCAATGCCTGAAGTTACAAATCCTGTCCCAAGGGGAAACTGCACACAGTGGTGAAAGCATATGAAGATTTACTCTAAGCAGGTTATTGTTAGCACTGTAGCATTCTAATTTACATGGGGGAAGGAAATCCAGTCCAACAAAAATACAGATATATGGGCGTTTCAGTTGTTTGAGTGAAACAGATTTTGGCCTCTACTGATGCTAAAGAGTTAAAGAGATTTGCTTCTAAAATGTAAAGAAAATGAACCATTTTTATAGTCTTAACTAGTGAAGAGAAAGGGACTGTTGAAAAAAATGTGCCAGCCTTCAGAAAATTTTTCAAATTGTAAAACATTTACTTCAAATGAGGATGTTAAAAATTATTTTGATCAGTTTTTTGGATATTCTACTATTACAGAGACTGGATTAAAAAATGCATGTATGTATGGATGGATAGATGTGCTTGTGTATGAATGTACACTGCATAAAAAGAAATGGGACAGTTCTATGTTTCTCTTTCTGCTGGGCCGATTGACAAAATTCAATTAATGGTTTTCATGTCTCGAAGACGCGACTTAGGATATATATTAGATTTATATATAGCATCTTTCCAACATAGGTGTTTTGACACAAAATTGGACTTTCTGAAATAACATACCAATTTTTTTCCATATTTCGATTCTATGACTCAAATTACACCTAGATATTAATTTTTTTTTTAATCTGGGGTGAAATTTCCAGAGAAATTAAAAAATTTCTCTTGCCACAATTTTTTTTTAGTTTGTGCCAAGAATAATTCACTTGCTGAACTTCTTAATATATGCCAACCAATTTTCCTTTCCCTCCCATTATGCTGGAGCGGGAAAAAAAGGCACCGGTTTCATAACTTTTTACAGAGAAAAGTCACATTATTTCTACTTCCAAATAATTTTAGCAAAGCGTCTAAACCACATTTAATGTTTATTGCTTTCAACAAATATGCTAAATTTCAAAACATGCCAGTAATATAAATTCATGTATATCTTCAGAAATTTTGAATATGAAACTGTAATTTTCTGCAAGTATGCTTAGATATACATCTACTTTAATTCTTTTGCATTGAAGTCGCCCCAAACGCCCGAGCATTCAGACATCGGCTGGATGCCTGAATAATTTCCTACCCAATGCTTTCCCCCATCACGTTACTGCATTACTCATTGCTTTCAGGTGTTGTTAAATCACATGTCAATCATTCTTTTGAAGCTACTAAAAGTAGTTATATTATTTTAATGGCACCTTCTCTTTCTTGTGTTTACTGTCAGAGTTTAGCTTTTGATGCCCTAAGTTGCAATCCCGCCCCAAGGGGAACGTCACACTGTGTGAAAGCGTCCAAGAAAGAAGTTCTCGCTTTACTTAAGTAAGGCTATTGTTAGCGCGGTAGTATTCAACTTGTCATGGGGGAAGGAAAAGCATTCCAGGAGAAATTCTTAGATACGGGTGTTTTCGATGTTTGGGGAATAGAGATTTTGAGCTCTCTCGACGCGAAAGAGTTATGAAGATGGTAAAAATTTTATAGACTATAATTCAATATTTTTTTTGAAAAACTTATAAAAGTTGTTTAAAAATACGGAACTACTCTGATATGCACCCTCAAGACGCCAAATATTTTTGGCAAGAAACTTTACGCTGCCATATTACTATCTAAATTTTTTGTCTACATTTCGAACTTTTAGCCTAAAATGTCTCCAAAAATGCAGTTTTCGCATATGCAAAAACAATGTTTTGAACACACAATTTAGCTAAAAATCCAAAACAAAAACAAAAAATTTAGATAGCAAAAAACGTAAAGTTTCTAACCAAAAATATTTGACAAGAATCCATGTAGACAGCGACATGTTTTAACTTAAAAAAAATCTACAAATGGCACAATGTAGGCAACGAACAAATCTACAAACCACGCACACCTCGCTTTAATAAATTAATACCATGTACACAGCATCCTGTTTAATCTTAAAAAAAAATTCTAGGAATTGCACAATTTAGGCAAGGAAGGAATCTACGATCTACACGCTTTAATAAAATAACACAACAACAATAAATTTCAAATAATACCATGTACACAGCGTTCTGTTTCAACTTTAAAAAACATCTACGAATTGCACAGTCTAGACACTAAACGACAAAATAAACTAAAATAAATTTCAAACAATTTAAAAAAACAACAATAACGACAGAAATTCATACTAAAGAACCAATGAACATAACATTCTACAAAATAAGAACAAGGATAAAATAAAATGCACTTACCATGAATTAATGCATTTTCGAATAGCAGAAATATAAATTTCATACCGCCTTTAACATGCCGCCACGTAATCACTGTCGTATTTACATGACAGCCAGACACACTATCCAGAAAATTTATACTATGGTTCACAAATAAATAAAATCACAAATCCCTACTTCTATCATGCACTGCCATTAAAAATAATCTCCCAGACCCTCTTTCCACACTTCCAAATACCCACTACCCCTCAACAGGATAGCCACAATGATATTTCCTTTTGCCGAACTTCAATTCAACAACTACCATTTTATCTTTCCCTCCCATCTTCTCAGACACAGAGGCGAATCAACGAGCTCCAGCGAAAGATTTTTCAACGTCAACAGGGTTGCCATAGAACACGCAATCGCACCAAAAACCAGCGCAGAACACATATCGCCACATTTGGTGAAATTAGGGTGTATATTAGAGCTGTACCAAAAATACAAATTTTAAAAATAAATCATAAAAAATGGGTGAATTTTATTTGGAATGAACCTGAATTTCGAAATATGAAAGGAAGAATCAAATACGTTTAATAAAAAAAATGATTAATAAATATATTCCAAACTCAATTAACATTGAGGAGCTAAAATTTTGAGAGCTAATTAAAATTAATTTTAAAAATTACTCGTGAGATTTTTTACAAAACTTGGTAGTTTGGCATAATTTGAGTCATAGAATTGAAATATGGAAAAACATTCGTAATTTCAGAAAAAGTTCGATTTTGTGTCAAAATATCTATGTTAGAACAATACTGTATATAAATCTAATATATAACCAAAGTCACACTTGTGAGATATGAAAAATGTAAGTTCAATTTTGTCAACCGGCCCAGTAGAATGGGAGATATAGAACTGTCTCATTTTGTTTTCGCAGTGTACATATGTATGTACATGTTTGTGTATGTGCATGTACTTATCATACATACATTTCTGAATCCGGTCCCAGTAAAAGAATACTGTTTTTTTGTAAACAAAGATCAGAAGAATATATATATGAGTGTGGAATTATATCACAGCTAAAAAGACAAAAAGGTATTGGACTAAAATGGTCAATATATAATTCAATAAAATATTAACATATTACACGAAAAAATTTTCTTTTCATGACAAAAAACGAAACTACTTTCTAAACAACCTAATGAGGAAATTACAATTGAAGGATTCCCTTTAATTATTCTTTTAAATTTACAATGTACACCTTGTTTTTAAACTTTCTCTTTAGAAAGAACTGACAATAAATGTTCCTTACAAGATTTATAAACGAAACTTTCATCTGATAAAATAATTTATAAATGAAATAAATACTGAGACTTAACATTTTAAAGCATTAAAAAAATACTTTACAATGTAGGTATGATATAAGATTAAACCTAATATTGGATATAACTAAATGATGTTTATGAAAACAAAAATGAACAAATCAGAGGAGGAAAGGGAAAATCATAAATAAAAAAAGCATTTTACCAGAAGAGTCAATATTAATTCTGCATTCTATATTTCAATATTCATATGATTTGCTAAAGTTCAAATAATCCATTTTCTACAGTAAAATGAATACAAGATGGATTATAACTTTTCACACACTTCTAGTAATAATTAATATTTTTTTAATTACATTCATTATCTGTGTAAAATGCTTAACACACACTGACTTCTGGCATAAATAAGTTATTTAATACATTAATTCAAACATTATTAATGTTAAACGCAACAGCAAAACTAAATTAAAAGGCACAGTGGCAAAGGAAGGATCTATCTAAGACAAACAGAATTTTTACATTTAAGAGTGCACAGATCACCTTGCTTATTTTATACTTAAACTAATATAAATATTTAAAAAATAATAAAGTATATGTACTGCAAATGTTTGTATAGCATAATAAACTATTATAAAAATACAAGCTGCATACCAAAATATATCTCTAGAAGTAGACAAAATTATTATACTATATTTTTACACAGTATCCCTAGGAGTCGATGGAATTATTACACTGTACATTACTCTGTATTTTTACATTTAATACTTTAGAATGTTACACTTATAAACACACACAGATACAGCTGAATGCAGTAAATTAAAATAATTACCAAAGTAATTGCCAGATTAAAAAATGTACGTTGAGAGTATAACATTTGTAACAAATAAATATACCTTATTATTTTTTCCTTAAGGAGAGCAGTGTCATTTCAATAAAATATGTTACACTGTATCAAACAATGTCAACATGCAAAAACATATGTTCACTGCTGTTAGTAATAATTATCACGCATGTCCACAATTTAACGACTCATAAAATGAGCCTGTCGTCTATTACGTAATTCTTCAGTATCAGGCATAAAACCTGGGGGAGGTGGTGAAGCATTATCAAAAAAAAAACCAGGTGGCGGTGGTGCAGAGTAACCAGAATGAAATGAAGTGGAATAAGGAGGTACATTATTATGAGATGAATGGGGATCTTCATGAAGACTTTCTTCCATGGCTCTCCTTAACTGCTCCTCCTCACTCATACCAGAAGGTACATATTCTCTATAACTTGCACTTGCATATCCCGATGGTTCTGCACGAGGAGTAAATCGGGGTGTTGGAGATGGTGAAATAATTTTGCTTATTAAAGAGTATAACAAATCCATAAAATACTTGAGAGGTCCTTTGACATATGCCATTCCAACTAATATTCCAGCTAAATGTCCAAAGAAGGAAGCATTTGGAACAAACATCTGTATTAGTAGTAATTCTAACCATACTGCATATCTTGCTGATACAATTATTGGTATACCCATAACTTGTTGAGCATAATTATGATCATAATATGTAGTTAGTACCTTTAATGCAAATATAACACCCGAAAATCCAATCGCACACTGATCCTCAATACCATTTTCTTTGAAAAATTCTCCTGCCAGCAGATGTAATGCCACTAACACAACATTTGTCAGAATTGTGAAAACTGAAATGATGTACAAAAATCGCTTGCTACCAAATCTTCTTTCTAGAGACTGACCTTTTAATGCAAATGAACACATGTTGTAATAAAGATGCCAATCATCGGCATGTTCAAATGCTGCATATAACAAACGCATGTATTCTTTCTTTCTCCACACCTTATACGCACTTACACATGCATGGCGAGTATCATACCACGGTACTCTAAAAAGTCTTAAAAATGACGCTACTTGAAGTCCTATAATACCTAACGTAACCGGTGGAATTCTGTCAATCCCGATCACACCAAATAACTGATAAAATAACAACATCAGTCCCATACCGGGCTGTCTTCTGCGGCTAGGATGCATTGTGTTTGAAAAATAATCAGTGCAGCGAAAGCAATATTACAAATTTCAGTAACACCTTTACTTCACAACCTTAGATGAGGAAAGTCACCCTTAACTGAACGTGTAGACATCCCATTGCGCATTTGCAGATCACAGAAAATTCCAGAAAACTGAAGAACAGACAGCAGTACAAAGAAAAACTTCATTTCTCACATTTAAATCTTCGATTACGTAATATTATACTCAGTATTACATACAAATCTACACTGAGAATATTTTGATGTGTCATCCCATTCAACTTATGTGCACTATGCTTACGTGCAGTAAGCCAATTGGAGAGATAATCATCAGCTAACGACACGCACGAAATTATGCGTAGGAAGATAAGTTTCAGTTTTTAAACGCTGTAATTACGATAAGCAAACTTGATTTATAGCGAGGATGTAATTACAAAGTAAGCTACGAAATCCGATTTTAAAAGAAATACAACCAATAGTAATCAAATGCTGACGCAACATACCAACATAAACAGTCATTTTAAAATTTAGCCTTTTAGCCAGAATACGAAAAACATGATGTACAAGAGAAAGATAAGGATAGGCAAGTGAGAAAATGAAAGATCGTAAAATTACAAAAAATTGTTGAGTTTCCTAGTGAGATTTCTACTCTTATTACTTTTCCAATTTACCTCTTGAAATATCTTAACTTATATAAAATAAGACCTCAGTAAGAAAGTGAAGAAGGAAGAAAAATTTCTTGACTGTAGTACTGCCGAAAGCTTGTTAATGGTTGTTTCTGTTATGAGTAGTTAGCTTTGTTAGAAGGCTGTTGGAGTTCTGGTGTTAGTATCTTTTATGACCTTTGTAATTTCATTTACTCATGAAAATTATTTCTAGTGGATTCTATAGTAAGGTGAAAAATATATTTGTAGTTGTCTCATTGCAGATCAACGTTACAAGAAGATTTTCAGAATTATATGAATATTTATACGTTTGACTTCAGATTTCTGCTGAAGTAATTTTATATAACAATATATTATTACATTATATAACAATAATTTTATATAACAATACATAATTGTATACACTCTGAGTTATAACTTTTTCTGTTAATCCCCTCCCTTTTGTCTTTTTCAGATGCAAAACTTTTACTTCAAACTAATGTAGAGGGAGATGACATGACCAAAGAGATGTCGAGCTAAAATCAACGTTTTGTTGTTTGTTCTAACACTGCTCCTGCTTTTTTTTTTTTTTTGTTTTTTTTATATTTATAATGAACTACCCTGATATCTTGAATAGTTATGCAGCTAGCTTATATTTATTTCATTTTTTTTTTTTTTTTTTTTTTTTTTTTTTTGTAAAAGCTGCAGGAAAAGGCGTCTTCAGGAAGAAGAAGCAGTCAAGAAACGATCAAGGGTAAAAATTACTTTTAGTTCTAATTCAAACAGTGGGAACAAACCTACTAAAAATATTGTTCTTTCTGGGGGGGAAAAAGCATGAATAAAATGACCAAAATTACAAGAGTAATGCGGATGAAGGTTGATTTAGCAATGGATGAAAAGGACGACATCATAATTAGTAGGCCACATCCTATTAATAATCAGAAAAGTTTTCGAAAAGGTGCAAGTAAACGTAGCTTCTCTGTTCCAATAATGTATAAGAAAATAAATAATGGTGAGAATGATCTTAGAAATTTACTTATTTATTCAGATAGCACTAATAAAATTTATTACTTCTGTTACAAAATTGTTAACTTCCTTAGTAAGTCAATGTTAGGAAAATCTGGAATTAATGAGCGGAGGCATAAGCACTCGATATAGTAAAATGTGCATGCATTCAACAAAAAATATAGTCCGCGATTTCTTAGTATCACGCAAAGTAAAAACACGCTGTAAATTATCAGTATTTTTAATTAAAAAGAAATAACTAAAGTCGTAATCTATTAGCGTAAAAAATAATTTATTCGTATAAAGGTTTATTTAAACATTTAACAATGAGTCGGGAGAGCAAGGTCAGCGCGCAAGAATACTCCCTATTACAGAAGAATTACGTGAGTAAGGTCAAGAAAGGTCAGGGTGGGGAAGAATGAGAAATTTCTTGAGTTCACGTTAAACATTTGCTGTGACGTGTATGTGACATCTGTGTGGCATTCCCATCAACATCACAATGTGACATTTCTGCGACGTTGTACAGTGGTTAGAAACGTAATGTGAAGAAAATGTAACACTGAGATGTCACTGCAATGTTATAGCAACTAAGTGTGCTATATGGGGACCGGACCTTTACAAAATTGACAGTCTCCACGACTGAGAGCAAGCTTGGCATTCTCTCTATGTCAGTATCTAGACACACTCGACTTCTTTTGAAAAATTAATCGTCTTCACAAAATGACTCGAACCATCGTTTATTCGGTCATAGAATCAGGCTCGGCAGGGACCATGTGGCTCTGTCTTGTCTGCCCTTTGATTGTGGGGACGTTGCATGATTTGATATCGAAGGCTGTCCTTGGAGGGTTTGTATCTCCCCTTGGTCAACACTGGGAAAGGGTTGATATTAAAAAAGCATACTTTAATTTTTAGGTGGATGAGTAGACGTCCACCACTGTGACTTTGTGTGAATTATTGAGATTTTATGAGATTTAAAATTGTCCCACTGGGTTGACTGGGTGCGTTATGCCTCCTTGATTTGTCTCTAGGGGTTATGGCATTAAACTGTGTAAAGGCAGTCTCGAGCTATCCAGGTCTGGGTGCCCCTTCCTCCTAGTGCACTGTCATTTTATTCGGCTCTGTGTAACTGTAACTGTGTATGCCTTCTAGCAGTTTCAAGAAATAGAAGGTACTGGTCGTAAACTGAAGATTGATTATTTCAGAATCGTTAATACTGAATATGTTTCTTTATTTAAATTTTAGACTTTTTTTCTGGTATGATTCGTGACATGGAGAATCTGAGAGATTAAAAATTTCAATGAGAAGTATTATGAAGAGGGAATGAGAAGTTCAAATGTCCGATAATAGTAATAGTAGATAATTGCGTTAGGCATCATATTGCTTACATCTTCTGTCACTTTATGAAAATGCATTTGGCATCAGTTAGAAAGGATTTTTATCAAAATAAAAATATGTTCATGTATCAATTTATTATTTGCTACATTCAAGTTTTATACATCAGTCAATAACACTATTCTCTCAAGAGGTGTCTTTGTGCAAAGTTATATTTTAGCACTTCTCCCTCTACATAAAATAGATTTTGGAAACCAAAATAAATTTAATTTTGAGAAATTTTTGTCTATTCATTATATAAATATAATTATTATAATAATATATATATTGTTACAAATCTTTTACTTAGTTAGGTAATTTTAATAGAATTATAAGTAAAGTTGTTTCATTTTTCTGTGTAGCGTGAGAAGTGTAAGTTAAAGAGAAAGCTTGTAGAGACATTAGGTTAATTGGAAGCAGGAGAGATATGGTCACTTTATTTAACCTGTTCCGCCAAACTAAGTTAACGGCACTTAGTTTGGCGGCACAGGGTTAGGAAGTCATCCTAGTTGTTGCTAGCAATCTGACGGTTAGGCCGCCTTTCTACATTTTACATTAATCTTCAGTTTCATTCACTTGCTTCCTTATCTTTAATATGCCCTTGTTGCAGTAACAGTCCGTGAACAGTCTATTCACAGGATATGTGATGTAGTCGGAAGGAAAGAACTGTTGTCGAAGGTGCTCTGTCAGAGGCCAGGAGAGCAGGTAATGAAGTGCGTCCGCGTCTTCCCGCGAAGACCGCAAGTCCCGTCTGAGGAATTGTCTGTAATACGCTGGAAATTTCCCGTGGTTGATACAGGCCTGGAGGAAGAGTTGGTTGCATTTGAGCCTCTTGAGAGTATTGGGAAAATGTTGTAAGTAAATCTTCCTTTCTCTTCTGTTGGCGTCAGGATTTTTCTCTTACATCCACTTTGCGTATCTTTTTGATTTTGCGTTATTATTTAACAGGTTAGAAATTCCCAATCAACATCATTATAATACTTTATGCTACTACTCTTTTAAAAAGTGCATGAGTAATTAATAATGTCTGCCGCCGTTGTTACATTCCTTATCTCTCGTTTTTTGTTTTTATTACAAATGCTTTGAATATCTTTTAATGTCATGACGCCATCTGGCGGTAGATTGTGCAAACTGCTAACATTCGGGCATCCTGACTAAACAATTGCCCTCAATTGTCTCCTTTTTTTAACAAACATTAATGGCAATACCACAAGAATCACATTTTGTGCACAGTATAATCATAATTTTAAAGTTCTAGAAGGAGTAAAAAGTTTTATAACAAAAGTTCCAAAAAACGTTCTTAATAAAATTTTTACAGAAAAAGTTCTTTATAGGTTCGGGAAAAGAAAAAAAAATAATAAATAAAAGTTTACATTACCTGTAGCTTCACGAGTAAATATCCGAGTTACCTGGTTCCTCTTCATCCACCTCATCTGGGTTATTAGCATGCCAAGACTTCAGCTGACTTACGTGGGCTGTTGTTGTATATAGTCTAACGTGACTCCTTTTTTTTCTTCTCTTAGTAGCACTTCTTCATCTTATGTGCTATCCGCTCTTTTACGTCCTTCAGCATTAATGAGGTAACAATTTTCAGTACTCTTTCTTTACTCTCAGCTTGAGTAATACGACTTCTCCTTGGCATTTGATGTTCTATTTCTCGGTGCGTGGTTTCCGAATAAGATGACATTTACAGGGACTTAGCTTCACTCATCATTTGGGCTGAATACACAAATTCTTCTGGCTGCCTAATTTTTCTTTCACTTCCATATCCCTCAGATTTCCTTTCTGATAATTTTCTTCCATCCATAGAGTTTAAATCTGCTTTATCAGAAGAGCTTTTTTCGTATTCTTCTTTCATATCTGAATTATTTTGCGCATCCCATACAAACGGTAGCCTCTCCTTGTCACAAAATTTCTCTCAGGAATATAAAACACATCACTTTCAACTTGGTCATTTCGGTTTGGAAATCGCTTTCACTTTATAGTTGGTATTTTTTTATACAAGGGTTTTGAACAATCAGCTTTGCTTCTAACATGAAAATGATCATCATATTTCGCATTCCAATCGTACGTCTTATCACCATTGTAGAGGTGTAAATCTTTGTTTTTGTTACATTTGCGCCGAACATAAATTTGGTTAACATAATCAACTTCGTAGTTTGTCACAGGATAGAATACTTGATTTTCAGTTTTTACCTTTACAAAATTTACACTATTACTTATTATTTTCGTTGTTTCATCTAATTTTAATTTAACACATGAATTTTATTCAATGCAATCTAATCCAATAACCGATATGCAAAGCATCATCGATCCTAGCATATGCAATATGTGGCAAATCTAAGAACGTTCGTCCAACCAATAAGTCAACTGGCTGAGCCGAATCTGGCACAATTAATACTGGAATATCTTTTTGCCACTACGTCATCAATTTTTAAATCCACAAATGCCGCACCAAGACTTTTTTATCGAGCAGTTTTGATTACCGAAACCAA